ATAAAATCTGTCTGGTGAATCATTTTCTAAATATTGCCTTTTCTTGTATAATTATCAACATATTTTTTCTGGTCATTAAGCAAGTACTACAGTACTATAGTAAATATAATTGAACAACAAAAATAAGATAAAAGAAAAACTAATAAAAATTAATATTAATGACAATGCTTCATCTGAGATATTAGAGCAATTTAATACAATTTATATTGATTTATTTCCTTTTTCTCTTTATTAAAATATGAATTCAAATATGTTTACAAATTTATATGCATATTTATCAACATTTATTTTAGGTAGAAATACATATAGTATTACTTAATGACATGTATGTAATAATAACTGTAAGAACTTTCAACAATGATGAACATTAATCTAAAATTAAATGCTTACCAATTTAAACACTATGTACACTTCAGTTTGCGGTCAGCCAGGCCTTTCAATTAACAGTCTTTTTAGTATCTTCTTTCTCTCTTTAATAAAGTTAATGATTAATCCAAACATTTTAATTCCAGTTTAGTATAACAAATATATCATATCTGTCATACAATCTGAAGATAATGAAGAAACAGAGCAGCAAAAAAATAAGAATATTAGTTTAAATATCAATAAAAACCATAATATTAACATTTGAAATTTGATTTCTTTGCCTTTTGAACATTTTCTCTAGAAATTCTATATATAACCTTTTATGAAGTATGGATAGCAATGGCAATTCCTTAAAATTGTAATTCAGAATAATCCTGATGAAACAGAGGAAACCATAAATTTTTGGAAGAAAAATTAAGTTTTATTAAAATCTAGGTTGAAGATAATTTTAAAAAAAAACTTTGAAATAAATTTTGAACAATGAATAATTAGACTTGAACTTTTCTACAGTTATGAAATCTATTATGCCTGACACATTTCTGCAGATTTGCAGGTTCAAAAACTAATGAGATATACTGCAACTCCATAATCACATTCAACTTTTGATTTGCGGAATATTTTTCTCTAAACTTAGCAAATGCTTTTGTTAAATTAACCAATCTTAAAGCAATTACTTCTAAGACTTCTGGGAGACCTTAAAACTGAAAAGAAAGTTACCTTTCTTTTTCATGAATCTAAACATTTGTTCATTTTACTACTCTTATTGTCTGACAATATTCACTATTTTAGCATTCCTATTAGTTCTTGTTCTATGTGTCAATGTGTTCCCTTCAGAACATTAACAATTGTGGTTCTCCACAATTTTCTGTCCTTTTGTAGCTCTTAGTAAATTTTGTCTTCTCGCTATCTCTCCTAATCCCTGTTCTGCCAACCATTTACTTATTAGGTAGTTTATGTGCTGTTTTCCTTTACCCACTTTTGCATTCAATATGTCCTGTGAGTGTCAAATTTTCCTATTAATTATATTATTCAAATAAAGGTTTTACAAATTACAAACTTAGTTAATCATCTTGAAGCTGATACAGAGTCTTTGAGAAATTAATGAATTTAGAAACCTATATTTCAGATTGCATTACTGTCCATGTAATATTTGATTTAATTAGCTTTATGTTGTGTTTAATTGAAGAATTTCAGATATTTCAAGAAAATAATGAAATTAGAATCACCTAACTACTTGTTTCCAATATTCTATTAATGTTATAGCTGTTGCTACATGTTTAGCCTAGTTCACAAAAATTAAAATTTAATTAATTTAGATAATCATTCAACTTTAAATTCAAAGTTTCAGTTTTATGTTACGCTTCTTTCAAATTCCTAATAACCTATTTCTCTGACTCAACCATAGAGTGTAAATGCTTTGAATAGCCTTGTATGTAATTGTTTTGTACACACACACACAAAATATACACACACACACACAGAGTTGATTAATAAATAAGGTCTCCAATCCTATAAAACAAGTTTTATACCAGATAAATAATGGAAGTGGTAATAAAATGAATTAAATTTATTTCTCTTCAGGATCACAAGTTTATTTTTCTGCATAGTCAATATTTAATGTACATTTCCCAAAAATGTTCTATCCACTTTTTCATTCCTTTCAAGAAGCAAATTTCAGCTTCACTTTTTTTATCCAGTTACCCACTGCAACTTCAACTTGGACCTATTTTGTTCCTAATTTTTATCAACAACCTTCCTAATATCATCAGTTCTCGACAGTATCTATGCTGATAACGCAACTATTTACTTCTGTCTAAACGGTTTGATAAAGTCAATTTGGCAGTTGATATAAAAAATGACCTCCAAACTACTTTTAACTGGGGCAAGTAATGGCTTGATAATTTTACATCCCCATAAACTGAACTGCTCTCTTTTAATCAATGTAGAGAACCTTTTTTTTTTTTACTGTCCATTAGTATGGCTGATGCTAACCTCCAGGAGAGTAACTCATTGCAACTTTTCAATCTAACATTTTCCATTGATATGGACTGGAAGGATCATATTGAATCAACTGCTAGGTTTTCTAGTATGAAATCTCTTCACTGTGTCATGCTTGACAATTTTTCTTGCTAAAATCTATTTTGTATCATTTATAAGTCTTCCATTCATCCATGCATTGAATATTGCTGCCACATTTGGTCTGGTGCTTCTGCTATGTATCTAGTGATTCTTGATAAAATCCAAAGAAGAATCTGCAATGTTACTGGTCCTGACCTCGCATCTCAGCTTCAATCACTTTTCTTGTGCTTTTTCTATAAATATTTTCATGGTCATGTTCTGATGAGCTTTCCTCTTTGGCACCTCAACTTCATGAAGGTAAGCATAGTAATTGATTGGCAAATAGATCACAACATTTTACTGTTGAAACTGATAAATGTAACTGTAAGCCCTCTTTGCATAGTTTCTTCTCTTGAACTTCTTACCTGTGGAACTCTCTTCCATCTTCTTGCTTTTCTGCCAGCTACAATCTTCAGAAGTTTAAATACACCATTAATCATCATTATCTGTGTTTTTGAAACCTTTTCTTTTAATGTCCTTTCTGCTTAATAACATTTTCTCAGTTTCTTTTACACTCAGTAACTCGTTGCATCTTAGGGGCTTTATACCTTTCTTGGAGAGAAATATATTGAATAAAAATACTGACCTTTCAATGCCTCTTTAAATTATGAAAGCAGTTAGGAGTTTTTGATAATGCCAAATCATGTCCGTACACAGCATACACAATAGCTGTGAATTGCAGACTCTTCTCACTGTGATGTTTGTTGACTGCAATGCTATTTTACATTGTCAGGACACCAAAAAAGTTCTTCTTCCAAGCCTTATTCTATAGATACAGTGATGGAGAACTCACACGGTTTCACAACACCTTATCAAATCTTCCTTTCCTTTAGTAGAAATTCCATGTGCTTGATTGCTACTTAATAAATAACTTGGATATAGTTCCCATGATTAATGAATGCTATTAATCAATGCTGTCATACAGCAAAATGACATCAAGTACATTTGAACATAACTATACTAGCAAAGACATGTTTTCAAACATCTTTCTATCTCCAATATTATCAACAGTATTCAGTAGAAAACTTTACTTATGAACATTTGTACATGCACACACACATAGAAATACAAACACACACACCTATATATATATATATATATATATATATATATATATATATATATATATCATATTTGTCTTTGCATAAGACACATTTTTTTTCAGTGTACCAAAAAGCTGCCCTGTGCCTAATACAGTCACATTATGGCTAGGAGACAACCAAGTGATATAGCAGTAGGCTTTGGCATCAGATGCACCTGTGTCTATTAGTCATAAAAATAGTAATATATAGAAACAATCCAAATTATTACAATAATATTTATATTTATATCAGTTTGCTTTGTTTATATCTACCAGTGCTCATTGATATAAATGTACCAGTATTTCTTTACTACTTTGGCAAATTTAATTTATTTTCCTTTGAAGGTTAAAGTTACAATATATGAAATCATACTTTATTCCAGTCTAATGTTATGATATTGTATTTACACGTACAAAATCATACATTTTCCCTTACAAACCCACTTTAAAATTTCAATAAATATATGATGAAACATACTAAAAAATTTTTCCCAAAAAATATTCTTGTAAAATATGAGGGCATTTTATATAAGGATGCATGTTATGTAAAAAGAAAAATGGGATATATATATATATATATATATATATATATATATATATATATATGTGTGTGTGAGTGTGTGTGTGTGTGTGTGTGTGTGTCTAAAAATAAAAATGGATAGTGAGGTTAACATTGAGTAGCAGCAGTCTGATGTGTGAACACAATCTTCAGGCTTGAAGATGGCCTGAACATTGCAGTCAAGCATAAAACAGACCATCACCATTTGGTGTTGATATCAGTGCCTACATTTATATTTACATATGTTCTATCTCTGATGTAGTGAAAGGAACAAAAATATATATCTAGTTAAGCGCATATGAAGTAAATTACTTAAATAGATTATTTTTCAGCAATTATTTTTTAATATTTATACAAAATATACTTCAATTTTATAATATAGCGTCCAACAGGACTTCAATCAACAATCAATAATCAAATGTCATCATTCTGGTTTGATATTAATCATTCTATCATTCTCATGTCTTTTATAAATGGCCTAAATTCATAAACACTTCCATTTAATACAAATGGTTTCATTATTTATTGTATTTTTGATGCATAATATACAAAATGTCTCTTAAAAGACATTTTCAAGAAATTCTAATGAAAGATCAAAAGTTTTTATATGCTTTGCTTGGTGTGTTCATAGACTATATTTTTCTTTCCTTTTGTGTGTTAGAAAATAAAACATCTCATGAGATATAAATGATTCTTATATTGAAAACAATGAGTCTGAAATAATCTTGTTTCATTTCCCTTTAGTGACCTTAACTTCATATAAATGGAAAGTTATGTAACTTGTTGGAAGCATGAAAGACTGTAGAATTTAACTGTTATGATCTGATGCTCTGTTGATCTTTCTTTTTCTCATATAACCTAATTCTTTCTTGGACCATGTTCCCCCTCTCTCTATCATTTGTTCTTTTTCTCTCTCTGCTTCTCTTTGCCTTTTCTGGATATGACAAAATTTTAAAGGGTGAATGCATGGTTGATATAAAAAACCATCTGGTAAGCTGTAATCAGGGATTACTATATGTTTTATATGCAAAGCGTAAAATGATAAGATCCAAAGAAGAATCTGCAATGTCATTGGTCCTGACCTGGTATCTTGGCTTTAGTCACTTTGTCACTATAGCTGCCCTCTCTCTTTCTATAAATACTTTCATGGTAGTTGTTCTGATGCACTTTCCTCTATGATATCCAGACTCTATGAATTTAAGAACTGTACTGAACTGGTAAGAAGATGTCATTATTTTACATTTGAAATGGCTAGATATAACCGTAAGGTCTATGCCAACATTTTTTTCTAGCATTTCTCGCTTGTGGAACTCTCTTCTGGCTTCTTGCTTTCCAGTCAACTTTGATCTTCAAAAATTTAAATGCAATGTCAATCATTATCTTCTGTTTTCTTAATTTCTGTTCTTTTATTGTAACACCCTTTGTCTTAGTGGTTTTGCTGTGTTGTTTGGGGTGAAATAATTTTAAAAAATCTAATTAGAGACAAAGAACACAAGAGGAAAAAAGACAGCCATCATTGTCACTATTTCAACTTTCAATGTGAAACCTTCAAATAATGTTTGCACCCAAATTGCACTGTTGAAAAGCTTTCTTTAGTTCTATCTACCTCAGTTATTATCACAGAAGTTTACATGAACTTGTTAGCAAGAGTGTCAGCCAATATTGATTCATTCTAACATCAATTTTCATGCTCTTCTTCTTGTTAATCTCTTCCTGTTTCTTCTTTCTTCCTTTTCCTCAATTTCTACTTTTACTGTCTGTACTTCCTTCTAACTCATCAGTGGTCTTACAACTTGTCAATGTCATTCAAATATTTCTTCAGTTATCATCCTTTGTTCTCATTACATTGTTATAATGTCCCTATCTTATAAATATCATTTTTGTCTTGTTTCTCATATCACTCTTATTTCTTTTTCTATATGAATTCATTGCTTATATTTTTCAAATTAATCTTAACATTTCTTTCCATTAGTTTTTCTCCTTAATTTTAATTTTATTTTTTACTCTCTCTCTCTCTCTATGTCTCTGTGTCTCTCTGTCTTTCTCTTTGTTATTTCTTTTTCTTCTGTCTCTTTCATTTTCATGACTGATATCTTGTGACTTTTTTCTGATTTTCTCTGTTTTAAACCATTTTTTTTTTTTAATCATTCTTTTATTACCCAATTTTCCTTTACTCTGTGTTACACTTTATTTAATTCTTTTCATAATTATCTTCACATAGCCATGCATTCATTTTCACTTTTCTGCTCCTTTTTCCCCACTTCAATTCTTTTCAAATGTTATACAAGACAACAGGAAATTATTCTTTGCTTCCAATCAACATGATTACTCCTTGATGCAGCCTTCTTATTCTTACAGTCAGCTACAACTCTTTTTGCTTCTCTCTTCAATACCTTCTGTTCTCCTCCTATGACTTTTGTTCATGTTATTCACAAATGTAACTGATACAATAAGAAAGTCATTTGTTTCCTTTGGCATTCAATTAAGAATAGCTAGCCAAAGTCTCTTACAAGCATTGTAATCAACTTTTTAGAAGCATTCATTACTTAAAATTTTAAATTGTCCATTATTAATTACTCTTACTAATTTTTTTCAATGAAATGTCAACAATAAGTATAAACTTGTTATCAAACTATACTTAAAAAAGTTTATAATTGTTTTTTTCTATAAATATATGCCAAATATCCACATTCTTATATTGATGAGTAAATAAAAAAATTTATAAATTACATATTAAACATTAAATTCTTGCCCAGTAATGATCTGCTTTTGCCTTTTTTGAAAATTATGAAACCCTTTTCATCATTACTTGTGCATTAATGGAAAACAGTTATAAAATTTAAATAGGGAAATGCATTAAGTGTTTTGTTTCTACAAAGGAAATATCAGGCAAAAAACACTAATCTACATATTTAAGATGTCTACGTAAATAAACTTGTTTAAAGAATCCCATTACAAAATAGTCATTTTTTTAAGAAAAATCAAAAGTTATTTTAAATTGCACAAATACATGGTTTTATAAAATGGAAAAAAAACTTCAAGAATCCAGAAGACAAAGACAATCTGTGTATCATGTTCATATCAAAATCTTAATATGTACTTTACAGAAAAAACAAAAAACACTTTTTCAAAAATCTGTTTCATAAGATTTACTCACAGAAAATCATGAAAATTAATTTATTTATTAATTAATTTATTTTTTTTATATTTTAGAAAATCATCAAAATTAATGTCAGGTTTTTTTTTTCTTTCTACAATTTGAGATGAAAATGTTGACAAATTCTATGTTCTTCATGTTCTCAAACAATCTTAATATATATTGATGCATATGAACACAAGATGTTTATTACATTTCACTTGTAATTAATAAAAATAATTAGTTTATTATACATTGATACAGGTATCAACTTCTTGGATTTTATCCTTTCAACTCTCCAGCCTTCTTCAGGTGTCTGTTGTATTTGCTAAATTCTGAAAATCTTTAACTGAATCTTTTATTCAATACATAAACATTAGACTGAATTTATTTTTCAGAACATAAACACATTAGTTATGTAAGAGATTAACTCAGAAAAATGGATTAACTTGATATCCTACAGCATGAATGACAGAATAAGAACAGTCTACCATCAATAGATTGAATAAAGGGTTCAAGGTTAATGTTTTCAGAAGGATATCTACTACAATGGATCAGAGAATATAATGTCTGAAATATTATTTATAACAACTAGTATGAGACCATTTTGAATAAATCTATATATAAAAATGATAATTACTCATCTCATAAATTCAGACAGTAATTATTGTTAGTTTGTTGTGACCATCTAATTGTTGGTACTATAATATAACATTGATACTTCTTTCATTTATTAGTCATGCAGAAATCTGTTTATCTTCTCATTATCTTCCTTCACCCTTTCAGTTTTTGTTGACCATCTATGTTTTATTCACATGTTATACAAACATGGATTAGTTTCAGATACTAACAAGGAATGAAAATGCACAACAATTTTCTATGATATCCTCTCTTTTCTTTTGCTCTATGTTTCCATAAAAAACTTTAATGTGTTACAATTTTTGTGTTTTTCTATCCATTTCAATGTTTTGCTGATTGTCTCTTGATATATAGACAGCAAACAGATGCTACACTTTCAACATAGATAAAAAAAAAAAGAATGAGTGTTAATAAAAACAAGCAAAATAATAGAAGAGATAAGCCAACTGTTGAGGCAGAGAAATAGAAATTAATTTTATTTAAACTCATAGATTTATAATTTTTCACAGCATTTTTTTAGGTTTCTTTTCACTCATCTTTAGGCTAAATAATTCTGTCAATAATTATATCAAGTGCAATGTTTCAGTTAGTGTATATTAGTTAATATTAAAGTGGATGTGGGTGAGGGGAGGATAATGTACATAAGTAAGTGAATAGTGAGAGCAAAAGAGAGAAGAAAAGAAAATCTCAGTTGCAATTATTTGAAAAGGAAGTGAAACCAATTGATAAGTTATTAGTTTTATCATTTAAACCTCTTAAATCATACAACAGAAAACTGTTTATGCAAATTAAATGAAAGAAAATACATAAATTTGTAATGATGATCTTAATTTCATTTGATTCTAACAGAACTCATTTTTATTCCAAATTAATGAGTTTGCAAAGAGAGAAGGAAATAATAATTGTCAATCTTACAAACCATGAATAAATAAATAGGGTTATAATGATGATAATTAATTGGAACAATTTTAAAGCTTGATTTAAATTGGAAAATATTTTTTCAATGAGGAATTAAATCACAAATCCACAATAAGGCAACTGTATAATTGATAGGTGGTTGGAATTTTTGTTGTTAAAATATTTGTTTCATTCACAGAAAAAATTATAAAATAAAATGAATATCTTATGAATATTGAAAATTTTTATTTATTTTTGTTCCCAAATTCATTATTTTAGTTTTATTCCTCCAAAAATAAAACAAATTAGACATGAAGCTCTGATAAAATCAGGCTTTAAAATTTGCTGGATGAAATGTTTGCAAGAGAAACTACATCCTCTTTAATATATAGGAGATATTGCTAAATGAAGATGACCATTAGAAAGAAAAAACTCTTCATTATGTTTAGTTAATTGTTTTGTTAATGCATATTACTATAAATCTGAAAATATCTTGATACTGATTCATAGCATCAGTAAAAGCTCAAATCTCAAGAATTAATAACTGTAATATATATCCATGCATTAAAATACAACTTTTGATTTATTCATTTTTTTTTTTATCAATTTGTTTCCCTGAAGAAGTTCTGAGTGTAAAATCTATAATTTCTGTGAACATACAAATGAAGTCACCAGTTTGAATAAATCATTATAAAATTTGTCTTTTTAAAGCTACAGGTTGATTATAATCCTCTGAAATGCAATTAACATTATAGATATTTGTTTTCCTTGGCTGGGATATATTTTAATTTTCTTTTGCTAGGAATTTTATTTTTGACTAAAGCTTGACATTTGTAATGATAGAGGCTCTGGCCCAAAATTAAATAATATAAATGATATTAAATTTAATCTGCCCAAAAATTAAGCAATATAGATGATATTAAATGATAGAGTGACTGCCCAAAAAATTAAATGACATAAATAATATAAAATGATGGCCCAAAATGAAATGACATAAATTATATTAAATGATAGAGAATTGATATAAATGATCTGAAATAATAGAGATTTTAGCCCAAAATTAAATGACATAAATTATATTAGATGATAAAGTTTCTGCTCAGAGATACTCTGCTATTTTTTGTTTCTTTCACTGTAGGTGTAGTTTCATTTTTTTCTTTGGCAATGAAATAAGGAAACTTTTACAGTAAGTTTATTTTTCAGAAACATGATTTTCTAAATCAATCAGCAAGTTTCAATTTTGTAAACATAAAATCTTACTTCATTTGCCATCATCTTCAATATTCTTTTTTTATTATCTAAAGTAGAAACTGAATGA